TGGAGACCTGTGACGATTCATCACAGTGACATCCCTCCGTCTAGTAGCAAATGGAGAGCAATATTTTCACAGTGACATACATCAGGTGGAAATTGGAGGCCTAGTGGCAGTTCATCAGCATGGCATCTCTCACACACTACCAAATTGAGACCTGTTTTGCAGTGACATCTCTCCTTGTAGCTAACAGAGATCTGGGACTGTTCTCCACCATGTACTTGTCAGAAACCTGTGGTATTTTGATTCTTAGCCATATGACTTCAAAATAGTTTGATGCCTTGCTTCATTAAAATATGGTTTCTTTTTTCTCATGTGACTAAATTTGCCTGCAAAATCATGTAACCATGTTGGTAGGTTTGTAATTTTAGAGGGAAAAATTGAGATATACTGGTATATTTATAGTTGTTATACGATCAAGCAAAATGAGCCATTTCTTTCCCTTATGAATTTTGTTTTACATTTTAGATTTTGTAATTTTGTATTTAAGTACAGGTAAGGACTACATTTGAAAAGGCACTGCAAACTTTGTTGCCGTGAAAACCCTCTCTTGATGCAACCTGTGCTTCAAAGTTATCAAATGTTAATAATACGATTTCTTATTATAATTTATTTTGCTTGATTGCATTGCTTTTTTTTTCACTACAGTACTGAATTCTCCAATTTCAACATAATTTTACACACGGGAGGTCAAGGTTAAGGAAAACCTTTTTTTAAATTAAATACTTTTCTGGTTTGACCTGGAATGAAAAAATTCTTGAGAAAATTTATTTTCCATACTAGGGGTTGAAGTGGCCGCTCATATGTTCATCATTGTCATGAGTGCAAAAACAGTATGCTGCTGGAGGGGCAGTGCATGCTTTTCAAAAATGTTAGAAATGATATTACTCAGCACTCTTCGCTTATGTCACTTTATGCAAAAGGGGGAGGGAGTCAACAAGTGTACTCTTTGCATTCTCGTGAAAATGATGGGAAAAACTGCATGGCTCTAAGGTTCATACATGTAATGCATGTAATGTGTTGGATCTCTAGAATAGCCTTGTATTACAGTGTCATTTTGCAACAACTACACATGTTGGATATGTGTAATTGATTGTCGATTTTGTCATTGTGGGAAGGGGGTTTAAAATTGACATGTGATTTACATGAGTGAAATTTACTGATGGTGAAGTTTATCAGTGTAAATCAAGTGTCATTTCTCTGAATTTGTTGATATTGAAGTGGATTTGTAAATTGAACATTCAGCATTTCTTTCATCATCTCCAAAATTCTTTCTTAGGGATTGCATGTCATATACTGTATCCCTGGAATGGCCTTACATCAGGGTGTCAGTTGGGAACAAGACCTGACTGACGGATACAGTTTGAATGCATCATTGAACTATTGGGGGCTGGTTGATGCAAATTTCTTAATGTGATTTAATTAAAATGTCATTGTCCTCAGAATGAACTTGTTTGAAAATTGGTTGTTTACGTATCAACTTGCCTATAGATTGATGTTTAAAAGTGAAAACAGTGGACACAACTTTTTCTGTAATTTAAACCGACCCTTGACCCTAACAGTCCTCAATCCTCCACCTGTCCAAACATTGAGGACTGTTAGGGTTAATTTCTCTTAATGGGAAGGATGAAGTGAATACTCTTTATAGTAATTTTCTTCTTTAATAATTAATTGAAAGCTTTGTTCAGTGTACATGGCAAAAAGCAATTTCTTTTTTGCGTTAAATGGTATTCAAAGAAATGTTTTTTCATCGTTGAACAGACTTGCATAATGTGTGACAGAAATACACCTGTATCTGCCAAGTTTGAATTTTGTACATTACTCATAAGAACTGTTTCTGGGAGACTTGAGGAGTTGGATTATTCCTCATTCCACAACAGCTAGTCAAAGACAAGACATCGGTTGTAGAAAATTTGACAGTTTCCGACTTCAATTGACTCAAATTTTCTTGTGGTACCTTGACACCTGGCCTGTCGCTTTAGCAAGCAACTGGTCCCCCAAAAAACCATCAGCATCAAAATGATCTATTCTGATATGCCTCCCCCCTTCCAGCTGGTATATATTGTGGCCCCCATTCACAAAGCTGGCGACAGAGTTGCTTGACACATCTGGTGATACTGATTTTCCTAAGGCCTGTCCTGTCTGAGGCATTCCAAAACAACTGATCTTCACACCTATTTCCCCAACTGGATCCATAGTTTATTTCAATGAGGCATTTACGATGGCACTTAGTATTGTGGCTGATCATTTGGAATCTTACAATGACCACGTGATTTACAAGGCAGGGTACAGGAACAAATGTCTCTAATTTTCGTTCAACTGCAGAGAAGGTGATATATGAAATTAATTTGCTTTTATTTTTATGATTGTTCCCGACTGAACAGGAAAAATAGATTGAAAGGATTTTTTTTAACTGAAGACAAGTGGTGAATGCATATGACAAAATCCGAATGGAATTGTTTTGCAGGTTGTTTTACTTTCTGAAAGCAAGAAAATATCCTTTGAAAATACTTGAACAAAACACATAACCATTGCAGTAATTTGCTTGCAAATGGCAAAAGAGGCATTGACACACTGTCTTTGTCACTGGCTGCTGTCACTGTTAGCTGCGCTTTACTTCATCAAAACACATTAACAAACATGTTTAAAAGTGCAGATTTATTGAAAATTTCAAAATAATGATATGAAGGCTTGTTCCTGTATCCTGCCTAAAAGTAAAGTATTTTTTCAGGAAATTAATCAATTTTGATTTCTCTTTCCATACTCAAGAAACTTCTGATTAAGAGAAGCAAAACCGTGAGTGGAGTGCAGACACAAAGGGGTCCAAGATGGCACCACTGATGTCCAAGGGATTGGCTGCCTACCTGCTTGAACTCTCATCGTCAAGACTGGATGCGGTCATACTTGATAAAGGCAAATCCATGGCAACAGCTTTTTAGCTGAAATTGAAATTTTCTAATGACCAGTTTCTGACTAAAAGTATTGGCGTGCAAGCCAAAAGTTTGAAAGTGAGTTATTTTATGCTTTTTGTGACCAACTGAGCCATTCTAGTGGGAAACAGTCCCACCCAAATTGGGAAAAAAAAACATGAAAAAATCTAAAGCTTTTAAATTAGCTTCATAATTGATGTTGACTACACTCGTTTTTTGGTACATCATCCGCTGAAATCCAGTCAGAGATGGAATACAATCGTTGCCATGGATTCGCTCGAAATGTGAACCATTACACTATTTGTTTTGAACCTGGCACATGTAGTTTCATGCAAAGAAAACCATCAATTCCCCCAAGTGCTTCTTGACTAATGTTCTGGTCATTTTTAATGCCCTTCAATCTCCATTTAGTTGACAAACTAACCTTTTGGAAACGTAAAGTGAGTCTCATTGTCCTGATAAGCATTTTGACATGATAAATCCAACATGTGCCAGGTTCAGTTTTAGTTCCTGAAAAAGTCTGATAAAGTTTCATGAATACCCGTATACTGTGTATAAATGGAACCAACATGTACTCCAGCACATCATTTTTTGTTTGTTAGTGAAGCAAGAACTCTACAAATTAAAATTGATTTGTTGAAGTTGTGTATTAATTACTTGTTGCTTTTATCACACTGAAGTTTGTGCTGGGGTTTTTTAAATAAAGGAATTACATAAGCAGCAGTTTTAGTGGTTATGTCACATCAAACTGCATTAAATATACAAATTGCAATGAAATTAGACATTTTATAACGGATTAGTACATTCACTGCATTTTTTAAATTTGTTATAAATTGGTTATAAAGAAGTCCTTTGAAATTGGTTTCTCGTCGTTAAGACTTCTTCCACTGATTGTAGATTCTGCTCCTTGTCATGTAAAAAACCTTTTGCTTGGCTCCTCTGCATGTGAAAAGTATTTCCGTCTTAAATGTCTCAACTCCACAAAAACTTGGTAATGGTAGTTTGAAAGTGATCAAATTCAACAATTAACCTTTTTAAAAAAAGAGTATGATGTGCTGGTGTAGGTTGTTTGTGTATTGATTGCTGAATTAAAAACCATTTTTGTTTGCGTGTGTTTTTGTATTCAGTGTGCCTGCTGCCTATTTTACAAGCTCGTAATTCATTTGTAATGGACTTTAAATGAACAAAATACAAAGTTTGTTTTTCTAGGTCTCTGGAAAAGAGCCAATTTAATTTGAATGAGAAAATTTGCTACACCATCCCAGTTTTCACTTCTTCCATTACTTTACATGTGTAACGTGAAGTTACTGTAAAGTAGGCAGCAGGCTTGTTTTGTATTGTGTTGTTGGGGGCTCATATCCAGTCTGTGAATGCACACTGCCACCACACTGCATGCATAAGTTAACAATCCAAATCCTTGTCAATCTATTCACATATGTCGGATGACAGAGCGCCCTCAATCTAGGTGCTGGGTGTAATTGTTGGATGTATTTTTGTGTAGTCAAGTTTGATAGAAGGGCGCCCTCAATCTTCTCTTGGAGAAAGGAATGTGCGTCAGATGCAATAAAAAAAGAAAGAGCGCCCTCAATCTTGTGCTGGGTGTAATTGTTGGATGTATTTTTGTGTAGTCAAGTTTGATGGAAGGGCGCCCTCAATCTTTTCTTGGAGAAAAAAAATTTCTTTCAAAGAAATTTTATTTGAACTTGAACTTGACATTAGCTTTGAACTTGGCAATGAACTTGAACTAAAACTTGAGCGGCCAAAAAAAAAGCACCCTAGCGCATACAAGTCCCCCCTGGTGTGGGCCACGTGTTCCCCGCCCACAGACGCCAACAGGTCCAGTGAGTTGCCCACTGCATTAACTCGCAATCAGTTGTTCTTGATGTATACAAACTCTCCTGATCAAAAATGCCCAAGTTGACTGCAACATAATAAGGATCGCATTAACTCCAACAACTAGTTTACTTTCTACGTAGTAGATGTATTTGTATTTCTACAACTCCAAAACGATTGCAAATAATGGTACAATCTCACACCTATGTGCAACTGCATCACTTGGATATTCTCGGAATGTTCCATGTTACATTGCAGGATTTGATCTAAAGGAAATGAAACATTTCACAACATGGTAACCTTCTGCTGGTTTTCTTAGATGCTTTTTGATGTCTGCTAGACCTTTAAGGTGCTTAATGTTGACCTCAAACTGTGATAAACTTCTAAAGTGTAACTCCTAAAATACAGCCATTTGTTGCACTGTAATGTTCCATCACAATGCAGTAATTTCAGGAGTCGTAAAGGAAAGACATTTAGTTAATTCTTAGTTGATGGTAGTCTGTTTAGATTCTACCAATGCACGTAACTAATACCTTCAAAACTAAATTGAGTGACCTCGTTTGTGGTATCATTTTGATAAGCCACAGATTCAAGGCCAAATAGGAATTGTTAGTTTGTCTCCTTAAGTCAGTGATAAACTGCATCAAACTATATCTCGTCTTAAAAAAAATTCAAAACAACTGCAGCTCAAGACGTAATACTATTTACTTGATTGAATTCTTTTTAAAGCAAAGCTCCAGAATACAGGACTCAAAACGTTCTCTTTTTAAAAAGTACAATGACCAGTCAGAAGATTTAAAAAATGAGCCACCACAAAAATCTGTTCATCTTCCCAGCAAGAACAGCTTTCAGAAAAACTCCTAACAATGTATCCTGAATTTCCCAAAACTGCACAAGGGAATAAACAACGTTCACTGATGTCTTCCATTTTCGCAACTGTGTTATGCACATGTAGCGGTTTCTTTTTCAACTGACCAGAGCCCTTTTGGATTTAAAGAATGCTGCTGAAATGTTTATCAAGATGCCGCAAGCTCCCAGCTTGTGCCTTACTGGTAGGCACAAGTTGTTTTTGTTTTTTTTCAGTCTCCCTGACTGATGGGCAGTCTGGTTTATGCACAAATGCCAAACTCAAAAAAATTTGTCAATACCAAATATGCAGATGACGCCAGACATTTTTTTCGCTTAAAAAAATGTGTGCTTGTTTGCAATATGATTGCACTGCAAAAAGTGGTTTATCCCTTGCAAGATTTGTCCAAACCATTTTAGGTTACAGCCCTGATGCACCCTTTTGAATATCCATGTTCCTCTGAGCCTTGATGGATGATGTGGTAGCAATCTGCCTGTTGGTATCTGTAGAAACTATGGCATCCAATGACACGGGGTTAGCCTGTCCCGTACTCCATGCTAAATTTAATTGAAGTTTTCATTAATTCATGCACTTTACAATTACATCCTCATGTATTGCTCTCATAAACCCTTACAATCTCATGGCAGTTTGGTGTACACTGGTCTACATAATCACAGATATTGCACATGCTCACATGCTAACCTAAACAGGGTCCAGAAAAATCCACAACTGCCGCCACAGTAAGCCAGGAAAAGTGATGAAAATTTCATGATGGCCAACGGTTGCTTGATTGTCGTTAAGTACAACTTTACTATCACTCCGCCATTCAGCTTCAACTAAGCTTGATTTTGGTACACTTGATTCTAAGCACAAAGACCGTGTTGCCAAAACACTAGAGGACCAACAAAACAGCAGTTTGAAAATAGCTGTCATGTTGCTATGTTGAACTCGCTTGTACGTGGCCCTGTTGTAGTGATCACTGCTACATGGCAGAGCCTCAGAGTCATGCCAAATGTGAAGTTGTAGCAAGATACCAATACGAAAGATGCTGTTCAAATGACTCAATCTGAGTCAGCATTTCTGGTGTTTGGATGCATTTTAGAAGTTGCACTAACATCTTGCCGTTTCAAAAGTCACATTTTCTACCAGGAATGCCTTCAAGTTGCAGCGCATGTGCCAACAGTAATGGCAGTATCTTTAAGGCTTCCACAGGGATTTGCGTGGAACCATTGCAAACTAACGAGAACGGATGACTTATGGTAGATCATTAACTTGAAAAGTGACTTCTGGGCAAAAGCCCTTTGGCGCAATGTACTTTCAATTGCTCCTTTTGAAAGAAAAAACATTGTTTTAAGAGTCTTTTTCACAAGTTTCTCTTTCAACGGCAGTCAAATGAGAATTTAACAGTCTTGTTGAAACTCTTTTTCCCCAAAATGGTCATATGTAAGTGAATTACTGCTCACAAAGACCGTGTGCAGGAAAGAATACTCAAGTGGATGTGATATTCACTTTTTGGTCAGTTTTTTTTTTTGACAGCCAAGCGTATCTGTTGTCGGCAATTGCAGATTTTTCTGGAGCCTGCTTAAGTTATTTGACTTCAGACAATGAACGCAATTCATAAAAAGGTACTTTTTTACAGGAAGATTAATTTATGAAAAACAAACCATCCTCTGTAGAAAATGAAAGAGCTAACTGACTGCAAATTCAAAATCTTGCCCTAAATTAAAAGATTTCTGATACCCTTCAAACCATCACGACCAAACAAATGTTGCTAAATTACTGTGTGATCACATTTCATCAATGATATCAGTACTTCGAAATCAGGACTAGAAATTTCTAGAACATAACAAATGTTATAGATTATGCACAATGGCTTTTTTCCCCAAAGAGCAATTGCTGTTTAATCACGACTTCTTCAAAATTGATTTCTTCATACTGACACATTTGTGTCAAAAAACTT